TTTTGGGACTAGGCCCCCTGAGTTACTGGCAAGGTCCCACAACTTCCCATCAAGCCCAGGCCACTGAACGGTTGCAGGTGCAGGAAGGTGATGAATATTCCTTTAATTCGATTAGCCAGTGTCCCCCAAGAAATTGAAATGCCCTTAAACTAAAAATTCCTAGCTACAGGCCTGTTCTTCATGCTTCGGCCTTGTTCAACATTTACTCCACAGTTAACTATCTCAATGAGAGCTGAACACAGAGTGTCAATAAGATGAGCACTTGGCATAAATTTCATACTTCAATTATGATGGTCAAATGATGTAAGCGCGTGTATGCTTTTACTTGTAGCTTATTTCATATATTTTGTTGAGTTTGAGGTGGAGAACAATTTATCAAGAAGTGATGGATGAATGCAGAATCGAAGAAAAATGGGAAACACACACACACACATCATGTGGGAAGGAGAGTGTGGTATGAAAGGAAATCCAGGAAGATTTAATGGAAAAGTGGTTGCATCCAACTCTGTATAAGAATCATCCCAGGGGGGCCCAGGAGTGTATGTAATTACTGTGGGGAAATGGTCTTGCAAGTCTATTTTTGGTCCAAGAGGGAACCTAGATGCAGGGATTGCCCACAGCCTCCTCACCTTACTTCTACTTGATAATAATGACAATAGGGGTGCATAGATCAATCAACCCAAATTCAGCATGTTAAGAAACTGATTTGAAATAAGCAATGAGTGCAGGCAGCATTTTGAAATAACGATGGAATGAGCAAAAATCAAAAGAAAGTGATTCAAGGGCAATCCTTTAACACTAATACTGTAGTGTTGAAAAGTGCCATAATGAAACAGCTGACTTGTGGTAACCTGTAAAATATTCAGGGAAAAAAGAGAGGTTCAGAGATGGTTTGCCATTGCCAGCCTCTGAGTAACACCCCTGGACTTTCTGGGTAGACTCCCATCCAAGTACTAACCATGGCCGACCCTGCAGACCTGAGTTCTAACAAGATACTGTTATGCACGTGGACCGCCACCGCGGAACAGGCCAGAGCTTGGATCCTAAAACAATGGAAATTTCGGATCCTGGATCCCCCAGCCCCAACAAATAGCCACCTTGGTGGGACATTCAACCCCTCCATTGGGAATGGGGGGTGCTGGGTGGATATGTATATGTATATAGTTGGCCCTGTTGGTCGTTTCTAGTTAGTCTGTTTGTGTGAAGTATAATAAACATATGCTACAGTATGTCGTCGTCCGAGTCCTCCATGCGGCAAACCCAGTACTTTTCAATATGTACCCTATAAAATGGATAGAATAAGGATAGCTTATTAATTCTTGGAGTTGAAAGTTTCAGGAATGATCCTTTATCCTTGGGTCCCAGTTTGAGGTTTCTCCCATTCATTCAGTACTGCATGATGATACGGACATTGTAATGGAGTTCTGGTGTGAGAAAACTTTTCGTAAGAAGGCAGGTTGACAAAGAGAGTACACAGAGGAAGGAGAGCTGCTTCCTCATGTTGAAGGGTTTTGAAATCTCTGTATTGCCCACCCAATTCAGTCATTTTCCCTTTCCCACTGAAAGAGGAAGATCTTGATCCCATTTGGTCTCCCAAGGTCTGTGTCTTCAGTGTGATCTTTCTATCTTCTGTTCTTCTTGTGCTAGGACAATCTTCCTACCTGTAGAGATCGATGGCTCTGGTGCTGGGAGATGAGTCATACCTATCCTACTTTCCCCTTGTCTACCTACTAGTTTGTAAAAGGAATTTTGTACCCTCTGAACTTTTTCAGAGTACAGAGAACCATTATTGCTAACCTTGATGTAAATTCGAGGGTATAAGGCATTTCTTAATAATAATTAATCAGTATTATCTGAGAAAGAGCATCCCAGTTATGGTCTCAATCTTTGTGGGACTAATTCTATCAAAGTATCAATAGTGAATTAGGAATTCAGATGCTGCAGTCTACCATGCTTCTCACCAAGGGATGAACTTCCCACATGTTCAAGAATCCTTGCTCTTCAGGAAGAACTTGATGTTCATGGTACATGTCCTTTGAAATTACCCTACCTATGGAGGGAAACAAAATTCCTTTTAAAATAAATACATACAGAAAGGAACAGAAAATCTGAATGTGTGTGATAGCTACAATAAAATCATATATTGAAGTATAAAATAAAAAAGTCAGGCAAAAGGAATTTAATATATTTTTTAAATCTATTAAGAAGCCAATATTATCCTGCACATTGCTTCTCAATGAACAAGTGAGCTAAGACTGTGCTTCCTTGTTCAATCTAGCTTCACCACTTTCTGAAAAGGGTCTCATTTAATAACAGCGCTGGGGAGGAAATTTCATTTGATACCAGTGGAGAAGTTGCAACAGGGTATGATATCATCAACTGGCTTGCTTTCCCAAATCAGTCTTTTTTTAAAGTGAAAATTGGAGAGGTTCATCCAGAAGGTCCAGCAGACCAAATGCTTACCATGAATGAAGATGACATCACATGGAACAGCTGCTTTAACCAGGTAGGATAGGATTATACAATCAGGCAAAACATTAAAGAAAAGATCTTAATACACACTGTTCTGCTTGACTGCATCGCAAACCCTCATTTGAAAATGGATGATAGAAGGAATAGCCACTGTGGGATAATTTAAAGCAGACAACGATAGGTTTAGGGTTCTCATCCCTTTTTCAAACATCTTCTCTCTAAATGCCCTCTTTCCCCCTTGGCCAAAGATGATATTGGAGATTATGGGGCCTCTCCCTGGTGATTATAATAAGAATTAGGTGAGGTGGCATGGGAAATTTAGCTGCAGACTACCCAAAGTTTCTTTGTTTCAAATTCACATCTTACCTTACTTCTTGGATTCAGGGGGAATACAATAATAATTAAAATATCCCCATAGAAAAATAAGGATAAAATATAAGGCTCTAGCTTCCTTCCTCTTAACCCCCAACCTCTTAACCTGCTCTGAAAATGCCAGCATTACTCCAAGAAGAACAAGTGGACTCAGTCCCTCTAGAATACCAGCCTTCCCAACCAGCATTGTGTGGATTCAGTTTCAGTTTGTTCAGATTGTTCTGACTTAGCCAGCCAACTGCAGCCTCAAAGCCCTGATTTAGAATCAAGATGGACACAACAAGGTGTTCTTATTGTTGTTTTTAATTTTGAGGATGCTGCTTACAATATGGGAATAAATTGTGATCATAGCAGAAGAGTGATCAAAGTGTCTTTCTGATGTCCTCTATGCACATCTTTTAAAAATGGTATCATATTCAAACCTGTGAACTCCATTACCACCCTAAAGGTGGGGCCTGGAGTTCTGCCGAGTCTACCAATTACCTCCAGATTACCAAGATTAGTCCCCCCGGGGGGCGGGGGGAAGGCAATTTTGGATGGCTGATCCTATGGTAGCACATCGCCTTCCAAGTTCCCTTCCCTCACTCCACTCATTCTAGGCATCATCAAATCTCCAGGCAATTGAAAGCTTGACTATACAAGCCTATAGAACACCCAGAGTGAGAAAAGAGCAAGAATGGAGGGTGTCATCCTTCCTCATTTTCATAATCTGAAAAAGCCCTGAAGAACTAATTAAACATAAGGCACCCAGTTATGCAAGAATGAAATGCGCACCACACCACAGAGGAGAAGTGAATATTCCAGGCCACTGACCATTAATAATCTGGAGAAATGAACAGAAGATCATTTTAGATATATATTTTTTACTGACTGATGGTTTTCCTGTCTCATTTATGCTTCAGACACAGCCCCTTTCAGTTTGCAGTGAAAGCTGCCTTCCAGGGTTTTGGAAGAGAATGAAGGAGGGGAAGCCATTCTGCTGCTATGACTGTATGCCATGTCCAGAAGGGAAGATTTCCAATCAGAAGGGTAAGAGATTTACAGTCCAGTCCTAAACATGGCTTCACTTTTCAAAGTTTAGAAGTGAGCCGGTGTGGTACAGGAAGTTGGAGTGCTGGGGGAAGCCTGGGGCAACCCTGGAATTTATCCCTGCTCTGCCAGGGGAGTCTGCTAGCTGATCTTCAGTCAGTCACACATTCACAGCCAGACCTAACGTAGGAGATCATTGTAGGGCTAAAAGAATGCAGAAGAGAATGGGTAAGCTGTTTGGGGTCCCAACTGGAGAGAAAGGCACATTGTAGAACAAATCCTAAATAAATAGATTAATTAATTAAAAACAATTCAGTTTGATTTGGTTTTAGATATAATGATATACATTAGGATGATGATCTTAGGTGAGGTGGAGATCATACACGTTTGTTTTTTGTTAATATAAGTAAGCTTAGGTAATATTTATAGTATTTTTGAGATATTTATATCCCCACTTTTCTCTGATGGTGACCCAAAAACAGACTACCAACTTCATCCCCCCCCCCTCTTATCCTCAGCCTAAACCTGTGGCTTGGTTAGACTGGGCAAGTTAGTGCCTATCCCAAAGTCTCCTAGTTAATTTCTATGGCATAATGGGCCTTACAGTCCTCATCCAGCATTGTACCTACTCAATCCTATTGGCTCTCTGTTAGCAGCCCCAAGTGGGAGTAGATAGCAGTGACATCAAGTGAGCAGAATATTTTCCCCAACGGAGTAGGGCCAGCATTGGGAGTATCTATATTTATCAGTGAGCCATGCCCCATACCCTGTTATTAGAGGTTTGGTGTGAGATGGTAGGATGCTGGTGGACAAGTATGTCTATTCTCTGATGGATGCCCTTGGACCACTTCTTTTCCATCACTTGAATAACTTTCTTTAGAACCTACATCTAACAATTTGTGATGAAGGTACATAAAATAATTCCACATTCAAAAATATTATCTGAAAGAAATAGGGAAGTGTTTCAAAAGAAGATTAAAATAAATAAATCATGTGCTAGGATATGGGACTGTCCAGCCTAGCAACAACAAGCTGATGTAAACAGGGATTGGTTGTGGAGTTATGGATGCTGTGATACCCATCAATGGGCCCTCGAAAAGAATGTGTTATGAGAACAATTATGGCATATGGATAACACTGAAGCTAACCCACCTTCTCTCCTTCTAGGAGTCTTTATAAAGCACCACAGCAGCCCCATTGTCAAAGCCAACAACCGGAACCTCACCTATTCTCTCCTGATCTGCCTCCTCCTTTGCTTCCTTTGTGGTTTGCTATTCATTGGTCAACCACAACAGGTGTCATGTCTCTTCCAACAAACCATGTTTGGCATGATCTTCTCAGTTGCCATTTCCTGTATGCTGGCAAAAACGATCGTGGTGGTCCTGGCTTTCCTAAGCATCCAACCAGGAAGCAGCCTGAGGAAGTGGGTAGGGAAAAGAGTAGGCAATTCCATTGTGATTTCCTGTTCCCTTTTCCAAGCAGCGCTTTGTTTAGCATGGCTGGCAACTTCTCCCCCATTTCCTGATGCTGACATGTACTCAGAGACTAAAGCCATTGTACTGCAATGCAATGTGGGGTCTGTCACCATGTTTTACAGTGTCCTGGGCTACATGGGCTTCCTGGCCACTGTTAGCTTTGTGGTGGCTTTCTTGGCCAGGAAGTTACCGGACAGTTTTAATGAAGCCAAATTTATCACTTTCAGTCTCTTGGTCTTTTGCAGCGTTTGGTTGTCTTTTGTTCCCACCTACCTGAGCACCAAGGGAAAATCCATGGTGGCCGTGGAGATCTTCTCCATCTTAGCCTCCAGCGCTGGACTTCTGGGTTGTATCTTTGCCCCCAAATGTTACATTATTTTGCTGTGGCCTGAACTTAACAACAGGGAACAGCTGAAAAGAAGAAAAGAGGACTAATGTAAAGAACTATGGTTAGACTTAGAATCTGCAAATAAAACTTCATTTATCCATCCATCCTGCTGTTTGTCTGATGCACACCTAATTCAAGAACAAATCTTAATATAGGTCTAGGAGTCTGAAAACTGGTAAGTGGATTCAGGATTTTCCTTTGGAAGCCACTCATTTTTTGGGGGGAAAGACCAAAAACCTCAAACTTGTCAATTTACTTCAGAATGGATCATGTAATCTCCAGAAATCTTACCCCACCACCCTTTCTGCTTTGGAAACCTTGCTTTACTGAGGCAGTCATCACACATCTGAAAAGACAGCTAGATGACTCAAAATTGGACATTTTTTATTTTAAAATTCAACATTTAAAGGGAGGTGATGGGAATGTTGTATGTTCTATATGTATTTTATTGTCGGTATTTGTGGTGTCATTATGTTAAGTGTAAGTTATTTGTGTAGTGTTGTTTATGTACACAGTATTAATAATAAAAACTTATATCAAAAAAAATCAACATTTTGATGTTATAAATACTGAAAACTCAAAAGAACATGAAGTAAAAAAATCAGATAAGCAATAATAATACAATAAGTATTAAAAATCCAACACAATATATCTTAACAATCGTAAGATCTCAAAATCTTTGTAATCTTGCCATTCTTCAAGAGCTTGTAAACATAGTTTTTGCCCTTTAAAATATTACCATATCTCTATACGAGGGTAGAATACCTTTTTCTGAATTCTCTGTTTAATCAGCTGAAATGCACCCACAAATGGGGGCGTAGCAAATCCAAAAATAGACCCACGACCTCAATATATGTTAGCCAATTTGAAATGGACAGATTCTGAAAGAACAGGGGGGGGACTAGTTGCCACCACACAATCTCAATGAAGATGAAAGCCAAGGTATTAAATTCAATTTTTAAGAGTATGGGTTCCCAAAGAGACCACCCAGTGGGTGTGGCAGTGTTTGGGCAGAAGGACCATGGCTCAAATATTAGATTGGTACTACATTTATAGCTTGTTTTGCTTCTCCTACACTTCAAAATGATATGAGAGAAATTGTTCATTAACAGTATTCCTTTATGCTAGTTGATGCTTTGTTTCTGATATTGAATACTGTAAGTTCCCTCCCCAAGCACTTGAACTACCCAGTGCCCAATCTAGTATGGGTACCTCCTCCCATTCATCAGCATCTAAGAATGCTTGTCAATCTAAGGCCAAACCAGACCAAACCATTGTGAGCAAAATCTGCATGGGAACAAAGAGCCTGTGTGAGGCAACATGATTAATGTTCTTTAATTAAGTTGAAGGGAGCCAGATCTGCATTGACATAAAAGTTTGGGTGAGTCAAGATAGCTCCTGTGCCCTGACGAGGAAAGTCCAGGCAAGCCCAATCTTGGCAGATCTGAGAAACTAAGCAGGGCCGACCCTGGCAAGTATTTGGATGGGAGACCTCTAAAGAATACCAGGGCTGGGAGGCAGAGGAAGCCTATCAAGCCACTTCTTTGAACATCCTACATAACCCAGTAGGAGTTGCCAGAGGTTGACATGAGTTCCAGGCACAGGCACACACCCACACAGACACAGAAATGCAAAAGTACTGCAAAAAAAGATAACTCTTGAAACAGGATGGAGCATAAATTGATTACTTGAGTGCCCTTCTTGATTGAGCAAAGAAAGGGAAATGATGACAGTGATTTCCTTGGGCTGGGCAGACATCTCTGGGATATGCCAGGATGTTCCAGTGTTGAAAAGTCTTTTATTATTGGGAAAGGAAGTGAGGTCATTGTTATTGAGAACCCAAACTGGGGATGATTGCACTTAATCAGTTTGTAATTCCAGCACACCCTACCACTTTCCTAGTTTTTCATGGCTGTACCCAGGTGCCTTTACAAGATTCTCCAGGTTTCTGGTTCACTGGCATATTGACTTTAAAGGGGGGTGCCTCTTAAAACAACTAAGTCCAAAATAAGATGTGGATCTCACTAACCAAGGTGGTCCTGGCTGGAGGAGGGGGCATGGTCCTTACAGTTCATACATTTCACCATAGTGGCAAAGATGGGATAATAAGAACCATATTTACCAGGGATTCCCTCCTATATGTTTGCCAGTATAAAATGAGACACGGTATTACGGGCGGGAGGGATCTTGAATATTCTTGAAGCCATGAAGAAGTCACAAGTTTACCAAAAGTACTTCAGTTCCAAGTTTGCCCAGATTTCTACCTTGTTTGGCCAGTACCCCTTTGTGGCTTATTGTCATTCCAAAACCTTCCTTCCTACCGGAGAGCCCAGCTATAATTTCCAGGTATGCTGTAAAGAACCTGGATACTCAACTTGAAAAATGTTATTATTACCCCTGGAATTATCAGCTACGATTAATATACTGTTTGTCAAAGCCCCTAAGGAATTTCAGTTATGGTTAGATAAACTAGTCACAAAGATAGTGAACTCTGCTATAACTATATCTTTTGCCATTCAGAGGCCAGGTTAGGGAGTAGAGACAGATACTGCTGTAGGGTTGCCAAGTCCATCTTCCACCCCCAGCGGGGGACTTTGGGGGTGTTCCTGGAGGGGGTGGGGCATCCCCAACATGATGACGTCAAGTTGGGGATGTCTGCCTCCCCCCCACCCGCCCGTGCGCTGGATCTCCAGAAACGGCAGTTCCCTGCACTTAAAGTAGCCGGCAGCCGGTGTTTCCCCTTTAAAAGCAGCTGCGTTTCTCTTTTAAGAATGAAGCTGGCATTTCCCTGCAAGCTTGCGGAGTTCGCGCTTGGGAAGAAACACACTTAAAGGGAGAGAGATGGGTGGCTGTGGGTGTTGGGGTGGGGCTTCCCCCGCCAGCCATCTGGCTGGTGTTGGGTAGGACCCCTCCCAAAATGGGGGACCCCTGGCAAAATGGGGGTGTGTGGCAACCCTATACTGTCCTGTCAGTCTGATTGGGAGAGTGGCAAATCTATCTGAAGATACCAGACTGTTTTAATGATGCTGACTCTCCTAGTAACAAGAATAAGGAGGAACCCCAGTTCAGATGGACAAATCATGCTAGTGCTTCTGATTCTCATGCTGTTGACACACAGAGAGAGTGAGACTGATATTGCTAACTGTACTCTCCATGGCCCTCTCCCTATTCTTCAAACATATTTCCAAGAAGGAGACATTCTAATTGGGGGGATTGATTCTCAAATCGTTATTTTTTCAAAAGATACATCTTTCAAGTTTCAGCCAAATGATTTATTAGTTGACATGCTCTTGTGAGTAGGGATTGATTCCCCCTTCCATAAGTGTTATCTGTCCCGATTATGTATATGGTAGGCTAGACATACAGGTGGCATTGAATTGTAGGTGGGCTACAAATGGAAAGTAATAAATAAATAAATAAATAAATAAATATGAGTAGGGATTGATTCCCCCTTCCATAAGTGTTATCTGTCCCGATTATGTATATGGTAGGCTAGACATACAGGTGGCATTGAATTGTAGGTGGGCTACAAATGGAAAGT